GAGCAAGATTAGGAACTGGAAGTTATCATTAGTACCTATAGACTCTGAAGCCAGCCTGGGCTACATGAGACTCTGTCTTAAAACTGACAAACCAAAGCTAACAGAAACTCCAAACAGCAGAGAGAGGTCATGGAGGCAGGTCATCACAGTTCACTTTGGCTTGAGACAAGAACTTGAAGACCTAACCAATTTTCCATTCCATTCACTGAAATAAGTTTTGTGACTATTAAGGGTCTCATTAAGCAACACAGGAAGTTAAAGAGGATATTGAGAGTTTCTCAGTTTCTGTGACCTCAAACTCAGTGACGTGTGAGTTCCTTCCTCTGCCTTGGCTATCTGCAGAATCTGGGAGACTTCATACAAGAGGAATAGGTGACTAAATTGTTCACCCCATCACTGGGTGGGGTCACTTTACTTTAGGACACAGTAGAGGGTATCTTCTGAAGGCTCCCCCTCTACAAGGGTGCAGGGTGGTGCTTGTACTGAGGTTGGAGATGAAGATGATGATGTCATGCTAGGGGAGAAAGAAGGGTTCAGATGGGGGCGGGGCAACGGTGCTATTGTAAAGTCCTAGCTGCAGCCTGAGTGTCCTGTCTACACAACAGGTCATCATCCTCCACCCTCTCTCAAGCACCCCCTCAACTCTCTCGGGACCCAGTCTGGATAACTCCTTGTATGATATGTCTGTGTCTGTATTCTGGTACATATGTGTGCAAGCGTGTGCTCACCTATGTGGAGGCCAGCAGACAACCTCAGGTGTTACTACTCAGGACACATTACACCTTGGATTTCTTAGCTTGTTTTGGATTTTTTTTTTTTTTGAGCGACTGAGGACCTGGAACTGGATATATAGACTAGGGTAGGCTCAAACTCACTGAGATCCACTCGTGTTTGCCTCTGACTCTGTCTCTGTCTCCCCAAAGCTGGAATTAAAGACATGGACCACCATGTCTAGAACCCTTTAAATTTTAACTTTTAAAATTACACTTATTCATTCTGCGGGTGAAGGACACACTTGTGCTATAGCCTAGGCAGCAGCCAGGTTCTAACACTGCAGTCTGACACTCCCTATGGTCACATGTGCACAAAAGCCCCATGTGTGCACCCCACAGACCCAGGCTGCTCTTCCACAGAGAGTGACCCTCCTCTGTGAAAGTGTCATGGCTGCAGGGACCAGTCACTGCTGTAGGGGAAACATGGTTCTCACTGCAGGAGACTGATTACAGCATCCAGGACAGAAATCATCCCACAGCAGGGTCCCAGTGGGGATCTACTGAGTCCAGGACTTGAAACTGAACAGAGCACATGACTTGGGATTCAGGGGCCAGCAGGTGTCAGCAGTGAGGTTGAACACCTATAGAGCCCACCAAAGCCTGCTGTATAAAAATGCTGGACTAAGCCAGGCAGTGGTGGTACATACATTTAGTCCCAGCACTAGGGAGGCAGAGACAGGTGAATCTCTGTGAATTTGAAGGCAGCCTGGTGTACAGAACAAATTCCAAGACAGGCACCAAAGCTACAGAGAAACCCTGTCCCAAAAACAAACAAAAATGCTGGAGTCCAGCAGCTGATATAGGTCAGGCCTAATGAGGGCGACTCCTGCTAGAGACTCTGCAATTGGGTGACTTTTACCCACAGACCCCAGACAGGAGGGCAACACCAGATGAAGCTGGAAGTTAAGCTTGGTTCCTGCATCTGCACGGACATCTTGAGCCCTAGAATCCTGGACCAACAGGAGAAGGACTGGACCATGTATTTCTGTAAACACAACAGAAGGCTTGTAGGCTTGGTGGTCGATTGATGGGGCCCAACTGCCCATCACCCATGGTGAGCCACCCTGGTTCTGGTTTGAAGCCTCTGACTTCCCTGTTCCCTTGGTGTCACCTCAGGCTCCCAACTCCACTTCCCCGTTGTCACCTCTCTACACAGGCCCAAAGGCTCTTCAGAGCAATATCTCCAATTTTCATGACTGGCTACTGTGTCTTCTGATCCTTGCATCTCCTCAGTAGCAGAAGTGACTGCAGTCCCATGCACTGTGAGCACTGAGACCCGGCCTGGGCACTGTGTGGCTGTTATCCGTGTGTCTTTCACAAGGTCCTGCAGGAGCTGGGGACTCTGTGCTTTGCTGTTGCTCACAACCTTGCTCTGGCCGTGTTTACTCAGGATGAGACTCGGTAGGCAGGTGCTGGATGATCAGCTGTGAGAGGTGCCTTGCATGTTAGTGTGTGTGTGTGTGTGTATGTGCCCACGTGTACACACGTGCTCATGCACATGCAAGTACATGTGTTTGGAAGTGTGTGCTCATGCATGTGGAGACTAGAGAGGAACATCCGCTTTACTGCTCCAGACACCGTGTACCTGGACATTTTGTGTTGTTAGTTGATTTGTTGTTGTTGCTCTTTGTTTTCTGTGTTGCTTTATTTGCTTTTTTTTATTTTTTTATTTTGGTTTTTCGAGACAGGATTTCTCTGTAGCTTTGGAGCCTGTCCTGGAACTAGCTCTTATAGACCAGGCTGGCCTCAAACTCACAGAGATCCACCTGCCTCTGCCTCCCAAGTGCTGGGATTACAGGCGTGCGCCACCACCGCCCGGCTCTTTGTTTGTTTTTTATTTTTCTTGTTTTTGTGGGTCTGTTTTGTTTTTGTTTGGTCTCACTGTATAGTCCTGGTTGGTCTGGAACTCAATATACAGATTCACGCTAGCAGATGTCCTCTGCCTCTACCTCCCATATACTAGGAAGAAGGCGTGTGCCACCATGTCCACCTCAATTTTTTAAATTATATTCACCTATTTCTTCTGTGGGTCAGGGCACACTCATGTTGCAGCCTGAACAGCAGCAGCCAGGTTCTAACACTGCAGTCTGACACTTCCCATGGTCATATGTATGTAAAAGCCCCATCTGTGCACACCATAGCCCCAGGCTGCTCGTCCACAGAACGTGCCCCTCCCCTGTGAAAGCATCATGGCTGCAGGGTCCAGTCACTGCTTGAGGAAAACAGGGTTCTCATGACAGAAAAATGATTATAGCCTGCTGGACAGAAATCGTCCCACAGCATGGTCCGTATGGGAAACAACTGAGTCCAGGACTTGAAATTAGAACAGAATTTATGATTTGGGATTGAGGGGCCAGCAGGTGGCAGCAGTGAGGCTGAGCACAGAGACAGCTGAGATCCTGAAGGACCAACAGTGTACAAAATGCTGGAGAACAGCAGCTGGTACATGGCAATGTCATCGGGACCAGGCCTTCCTTGAGAGACTTAGCAATGGGGTGACCCCCACCCACACACCCTAGACAGTAGAGCAAGGCCAGATGAAACCTGGAGGTGAGTACATAGGATCAGGAGGCCCCTCTCACTCCTCACTGAGACTAAAGACAAGGTTCATCTGGAAGAGTGCTTACCTGCCCGGTGTGCTCAGTAGTCATCCTCGGCTACATAACAAATGCAAGGCCCAGCCTGGGCTACATGAGACCCCATCCAATAAGGAGGGACTTTCTGACAGACATGATAGGCCCAGTCCCCTTTCCTGACTGATGGACTGTTTGAGCCTAAACCATCCCAAAAATTGTGTGCTCAGTGTCTCCAGTAATGGATAGATACAGAAGTGCATCCATGTGCATCTGGGAGGGAGGTCATGAGAGCTGGTGCCTGTATCAGAGGACCATGGGGACTGTGAGGAAGGCAGAGAAAGCAGACATGACAGAGGGCAGCTGCACAGTCACCTGAGGGAGCAAGGAGAAGGCAGTCAGTGCCAGGAGATCTAAGGGAATGGGAAGTCGCCTCTGCACTTGTCTCTCTGGGAGAATGATGCCACTTCCTCTTGTCCAATCACATCTTCCTGCCCTTCAGGAAACTGATGACACCTTGTCATGAGAAAGGGTGGGATGATCTCCTACCGAACCAGCCCTGAGGACATCACAGCCTCTGTCCCCACCTCTCACACATACACCCCAGCCACAGTCCAGCTGTGTCCACTCTCAGAGATGTCCCAGGCAATATATCAAAATGACACACTGCTACTCTAAGAATTCTTTCCCATTTCATGCAAAGAAGGTTCTAGAACAGCCATAGCTAGAGGGAATCACTCAAGTGTTCTGTGGGAACAGCCTATGGGAGCCCAGCAGCAGATCCGTGGCCTTGACAGGAGTTCAGAGGCTGCACCGAGCAGGCAGCTGGAAGTCAGTGTGGAGTGGAGGAATACAAGAACTCAATGGGACTGAAGTCCAGGCTTCTGCCGTGTACCAGTCATGTGACATGTGCCAGGCCTTCTCTGACCCTTGGTTTCCTCTTCTGAGTGTGTGTTAAGGGTGGTGGGAGGCAGAAAGGCTCCTTCAGAAGCTGGAGTAGCGTGGGAGTCACTGTCGAAGCGAGGGAGAAGATCACCCAGGAAGCCCAGGGAAGGAATAGACTCGGCAGCAGCAAGCAGTCAGGGCAAGAGTGGACATTGCATTTCCTGGGGTGCTGTGAAGAGTCCCTGAAACGGAACAAGAGGGCAAAGAGCAGATGAAGGTGGGGTCACCATTCTAGGGCTGGGGACTGAATGTGTTTCCTCATCGCCTCCTTTCTCATTGTGTCTGAAGTGAGCAGAAACTGACCACTTTTTACCATGATCATTAGAGAGAAAGACACAGACAACCAGCATGAGGGGAGACATAGTGAGAAACAGACTGAGGGGAGGGCAGGAGTGGAGGAAATGGGAGCTGAGGAAACAGTGATTGCAGGCTGCATAGGGAATGGGAAAGACTGCATGAGACAGGAGGTCAGGGTGGAAGAGAGGAGAGCCCGGCATGCAGTGGTCAAGGCTGCATCTTCCAGAAAAAAAAATGGGGGCTGGGCTGAAGGGCACAAGGGGGATCTTCTGCAACATGGGAAAGAAGAAGCCAGAATGATAAAGGAAGTTGCTGGCCACAAGGAGGTGGAGATGGGGAAGTCCTGCCCCCCACTCAGTCCTCCACATGAGAAGACCCAGGGAAAGTGGGTCACTTTACCCTGATTCTCTCCTGACTCCTGAGCACCCAGGGTTCCTCCACGGGGCCTCCTCCACTGTCTGATGGCTCTGCTGGTCTCACTTCCTGTCGGGATTCCGGACATGGCCTGGCTCCTGCTTCTGCTGCTGCCAGCAGCCAGCCTGCAAGCTGGTGAGTGGTGGGAACCTCACTAGTGGGGACCTAACCACAGGAGGAGTGAGTGCTGCTGGGAAGAGTGGGCTGCCGTGTGGACAGATGACTGCAAGAGGAACCAGCCTGTCCTCTGAGCCACAAGAGAGAGCTCATGTTCAGAGTGGGTCCCCTCAACTCCTCCTGTCCATCCTGTCCCCTACTGGACAGTGGGACATGGGAAAAGTCCTTCCCTCAGTCCTACTCCTGCCTGTGGTGAAGACTCAGGAAGCTCTGGGTTGTCCTTTCCACCCCCTGCAGTGGTTTCAGATTCTTCCCCAACCTTCTCAGGTAACTCAGCAGGATCCAACAGAGAAATTCCTTTTGGTGTAAACCAACCAGCACACCTCTCTGGTGTCCAGGGCGGCTCCATTGAGATCCCCTTCTCCTTCTACTTCCCCTGGGAGTTGGCACCGTATTCACAGATGACGATTCTCTGGAGATGGAAGGCCCTCCATGGGGAATTGATCTACGACTCCTCTTCGGGTTTCATCCATGAGCATTTCAAGAACCGACTCATCCTGAACTGGACACAGCCTCAGACATCCGGAGTCCTCAGAATCCTGCACTTGAAGGAGAAGGACCAGACAGTGTACTTCTGCAAAGTCCGTCTGAACACGAAACATGGCATAAAGCAGTGGCAGCCAATTGGTGGGACCCGACTCAACATCACCCCTATGAAGCACATCCCAGGTCAGCCCTGTGTTCCTGGCTTTTTCATACCATAGATGTCACTGGAGATCTTACAAGTCTGATCCTTCCCAGATTCCTCTGGTGTGTTCTATCCACTCTCCAGAGCTCTACCTTTCTTTTTCCCATAATCACCTGAAAGCCTTAGCATCTCTCTCAAAGCTGCGCCCTCATTGTGCCCTCCACAGAAGGTACCTTCTGGCCCCCATGTATACCCCTCCTCCTCTGGGTCCCTGCCCCAGTTTCATATTCCAATCCCTCAGTTCCCTCTTCTCCCTCACGTTCTCACCATGATCAGGTCTTCCGGCCGCTTCACCTCATCTGCGGCAGCTGTGACTTCAGCTTCCACACTGAGTGCACTCAGGCCCAGCCTAGTCACTGTTTGGGCATTGCCCCTGCCACCTGTCACCACTGCTGGGCCCTCTCATGGTCATTATACAGAGAGAGAGACACAGAGACCAGCAGAATTCAACCTTTCCCCCAGGTCATGCTGGTGACCAACAGACCCCACAAGGACCCTTTACCTCCAAGCGTCTCTCAACTATAGACACATGGTCTCTGCTGGAGCTCACTCTCTTGTTTGCCTCCCTTCTATCTTGATGTTGTGAAGCATGTACATATAGTGTAAGTGTACATGTGGTGTCTGTGTGTGTGTGTGTATGAGTGTGTGTGTCTGTGTACATTTACCACATTTTTGTGCTTGGGAAGGCAAGAGTGAGGCACTGGGAATCCTCCTCTAGTAAGCCCGACTTTATTCCCTTGAGGCAGGGTCTCTCACTGAACCTGGAGCTCACTGTTCTGGGCTAGGCTGAAGGGCTACGAAGCTGCATTGATCCTCTTGTCCCCATCTCCAATGGTGTTGCAGTTACAGGTGATCACATAGCCTGTTGTACAAAGAAAGAGTGTGTTATCTCGGGAAGGAACGCCTAAGGTAGGAACCTGGAAGCAGGAACTGAAACAGAAGCCATAGAGGAGGGCTGCTTACTGGCTTGCTCAGCCTGCTTTGATTATAGCATCCAGGACCACCATCCCAGACATGGAGCCACCCACAGTGAGCTGTGCCCGCCCACATCAATCAGAGCAAGAAAATGTCCTGCAGATGTGCCTATGTGACTATGGGCAATCTGATGGAGGCATTTTCTCAGCTGAGGTCCCCTTCCCAGATAACTACAGCTTTGTCAAATTGACACAATAACTAACCAGAGCACAGGGCAAGTGCTTTCTGGACTGAGCCATCTCCGCAGTTGCTGACCTGCCTTTTCTCCTCTCGGGACTGCACTTCCTTAGTGACCCTAACCTTATCCATGACAGTGACCAATAGACTCTTTTCCTCTCAGCCTTTACTCAGCCCAACACTTCCAACAACTTTGTTTTTTGTTTTGTTCTTTTGGGACATTCTGGGGAAAAACAAGGTATATAAGTATAGATATATACATGTTTGCCTACACTCCCTGTTAAGATTAGGGCAACAAAGGAAATTCTTTATATAAAAAAATTCTGAGCCAAATGGTGGTGGCGCACGCCTTTAATCCCAGCACTCGGGAGGCAGAGGCAGGCGAATCTCTGTGAGTTCAAGGCGAGACTGGTCTAGAAGAGCTAGTTCCAGGACAGGAACAAAAAGCTACAGAGAAACCCTGTCTCAAAAAATCCAAAAAACAAAAAAATTCTGGCACTGAATAGTAATGATGACTGCTCTAGAAAATGAGTGTGCTGTAAGCCACTGGAACGCATATTGCTGAGTTCAAATGATATGTCGTACATTACATTTATACCCGAGGCAGGGTCTCACTATGTAGCCCTAGCTGGCCCAGAACTTGCTATGTAGACTACACAGACCTTGAATTCACAGAGATCTGCCTGTGTCTGCCTCTCGAATGCTGGGATTAGAGGTGTGTTCCACCAGTGAGATAAGAACTGATTTTTTAAGTGGGGTGGTGCAAACCTGTGATCCCTGTGATCCCAGTGGAAGGTGGAGGAGAAGAGATCAGGTTTAAGGTCATTCCCTACACAGCAAGTTCAAGGCCAGTCAGGGCTACATGGACTCCATCTTTAAATAAATGTTAAGAGTGGCTAAGAGCATTGGCTTTGTGATTGTGAGGACCAAAGTTCAAATCTCATCACCCCAGAGGAAGCTGGGTGTCCCTGCATATGCTGTGACACCAAGGAGGTGGAGGCAGGAGAATCGCAGAGTTTGTCGGCTTTCAGTCTAGCTGATACTTGAGCCCCCATTTCACAAAAAGAAGCTGCCCCTGAGGAAGAGATGGGGAATGTTGTAAGAGGACACAGAAGCCTCTGCTGTCCCCACATGCATGTTCAGGTTCACATCTCTATCCTCTGTGCGTGTGTGTGTGCTCATGTGCTTGTTGTATAGATGCATGTATGTACACTCAGCAGACACATACTACACACACACACACATAAAACAAACAGCAAAAATATTTTAGTAGTATCTGATTAAATATTTCATACAATTTACAAAGTATTTTTATCATATCTACATCAAAAAAAGCAGCAACTTCTGCAATAGGTTCTTATCATCTAGCTGTGGTAGGAAAACAAGAGCAATCACAATAGTCTGTGAGGGATTGGGGGCTCTAAACCTCGCTCACCGATAACGCATAGGGAGGCAAGACGTACCTGGCACAGAGAATTTGTTCAATAGCTCATGTCTAAGGAGCAGCCTTGTCCACCCTGGCAGGCTACTTCTGTTCTAACAAGGACTGTTAGTAGAAAATGACTGTTTAGATCTGTGTGACTTAGAGATTGCTCTCTTTAGGGGATGACATGAGTGTCTGAGGACATTCCTACCAGGAAGTAGAGTTGTCATTGCTCACCCGATCTCAGCCTCAGAATCTGTTCCCTTCCTTCTGTGGGAGCTTCTAAGAGCTGTTCCCCATCCCACATCCCCCAAAAGAGACAAGATACCAGAAAATGCAGTTCTATGATCTGTCTGGAGTTAGACTCACTGCTCTAAGCAAAGAAAACAGCCAGGCCTTTAAATTATGCTTCTGGGCTGTGCTGTTATCAGTTGTTCTGATCCTGGTGTTGTGGGTCTTTCTCTGGGATACAGTTAATTATTTCTCCTGCTGCCCTTGAGAGTCCTGAACTAAAGTCATCAGTGAACCCAGGTGAAGGTGAGCATAGGAGGTAAGAATCTTTTATGTGGGGTAAAACCAGAGCAGCAGCTTGGGCAGGTGATGCTCTATGCCTGGACCCTAAGCCCTGACCAAATGCCTGCTGATAAAGATAATTGCAGGAAGGCAGATCTCTGCGCTTACCTAGGAGAGAGGAACAGGCCTGGCAGTGGGAAACTGTTCTGAACTAGGGAATTAACTCCCAAATATGTAACAGAAGGGAAGCCATCTACAGCAAAGGACAGCCACTTTATTCACAAAGCAAGAACGTTAAAAGTCTTGCCTTTGGATTTAGCCCTTAGCGGACCCCTTGGTTCTGATAAGTCTCTCCTGAGAAGATGACTGGGCAATTACTCTATGATGTCACAGCTTCCAGCGCTCAGCTTGACCAGATTGGAGGAGAAACAAGGAGGTCCAGTGACAACCCCCAACTCCATATTTGTGATTTGACACATCCTGACCTGAGGTTTAGGCCTAAATAGAAGACAAGACATAAGCACAGCTAAGCAGTCCCAGTTCTGGTGAGGCTCCGCCCAGAGTGAGC